AGTGATCACAACAAGTTGCACCACTAAACTTTTTTGTATGATAAATTCAATTCTTTTAAAAACCACATCCATAAATCTAACATAACATTATTATGCATGATCCGTTGTACTTTATTAAGAAGTTTCACCGCATCCGGCACGAGGAAACCAAACGTATCAAACGCGAATTATACGAACACTTGTTGATTTTCCATGCACGATTTCTCATGTTTTGTGACTTTGCATGTAGCAGCTTTTAAAGCAGTCTGCCCTACCTTGAAACCCCCAACCCTCAAACCCATGATACCCCTATAAGATCCACACAAACATGTTTCCCTCCAACCCATCCAAAAGCCAAAATGTCAGCTAGTCTAAAGGTTGACCTTCTTTCTGTCGAGTCAGTCAAGAAATTCACAAGAGCCTCTTTCTTGGCGGAAACTTCGACACGCTTAAAAATGTCAAACAAAACATCCATAACCATATCATGTTGGTATTTGAACCTCGTGAGTTCTTTACAATGCTCTCCAAAAGAGTCCAAACATGCCTTATGACACACCAGACATATCTCGTCAACTGTGAATGTTGGGATCATGAGCCGATATTTAAGGATAGTACGATACTCCACAAGAAACATATGTTGGCCAAGCTTATCTATATGTATAACTAAAAGAAAATCTTCAGCGTGTGGTGATCGTAAACATTCGAAAACTGTTTTTTGCCGAACCGTTATGTCGAAATTTACATCCATGTCTTGGAAATTTTTACTAAAAAGGGCACTCGCCGGTGTATGTTTGGATTTAGGGGGCGGTGTCCTTATTAGTGAAACTGCTAAAGTCAATTCTCAGAAGCATATTATGAAGAGAAGCCAAGACATAAGCATAATCAGAATCCATACCACATATATCTCTATCACGTAAGATATGGTCTTGTAACACCCAAGATTTGGCCATTGAGGCAACAAAATCATATGAGGTATCATGTACTGCCGAGTACAAACCCAAACCACCAAACCTAATGGGTATAGAAGCAATTTGAAACTATATGTCACCAAAGAAAGGGCCACCACAAACCACAATGTCCTCTATCTCCCCGCGTAGTCTTTTGTGAAAGAACAACATCGCCTCCTCCATGTGAATGGGTTGGAACGTCCTCAACCCAAAGAAAAGTTTAATAATATCCATACAAAACTGAAGCAAAAGGAGCTCACTTTGGGGTTCAGACAGTTGTGGAACGGGACGCATCAAACTCACAATATTTTCGGCTCTCTTTATGGCTAAGTTGCTAAAGAAACTAGTGTCTCTACTAACAGCTCCCCCAAGAAGGTTCACCCCCAATAGCAGTCTCCCGATGTCAACCATGAATAGCCCCTCGTGAAGCTTCCTACCATCACACAAGGGCCAAAAGAGCTCGGTTTTCTTGATATTTAACTAAAGGCCCAACTCTGCACTAATCACCTTAACGATGTCCAATGTTGTGGCCACCTCCTCCGAATATCCAATAAATGTTCCATCACCAAGATACCAAGCATGGAGAAGAAGCTTGAAATTTTCTGTAATATTATGCAAGAGCGGGTGCAACGCAGGAGCAAAGAGAAGTGGTCCCAAGGGGTCTCCTTGTTGAACCCTAGTGGTGGACCAAATATATATGTCTCTTAAATTCAACTGAAACATCCCAAAAATACAGTCCAAAAATTTCGTTTTAAAACTTATAATGAAACCATAAATCATCCATCATCATAAAGAAAATCAAGAATCATGTATCTCAAAACATCATGTCAAATATTGTATCAAAATAATATGAGAAAAATATCAGAGTCTAAACATCCCAGGCTAAAACTGTGGTGTGTGTCATGCGATCATCCCGAACCCTTCCCCTTACTAGTGGAAGTACCTGAAACCAAAACTGAAAATTGTAACCACGAAGCTTAGTGAGTCTCCCCAACTACCACATACCATACACATAACATATAAGCATATATTGGGCCCCGCCCCTGCTACATCGAGTCAAGCTCGGCATCGGGCCCCGCCCGACATCGAACCCTATTCGGCATCGGGCCCCGCTCGGCATTGAGCAAATCTCGGAATACATAAGAGCATAACAAAAACACACAAAAACCTAAGCACATAACATTATCACTTAACATTCCTCGGGCCTTGCCCGATATCGGACTGTAATCCGGCGACATACTAACATTCCTCGGGACCGCCCCGACATCGCACCGAAGTCCGAAAACATACAATACAAACACATGCAAGAATCACAAAGACATCAAGCATACAAGCATTCCTCGGACCGCCCCGACATCGGATCGAAATCCGGAAAAGCATATAAACCTACATCGGGCCCCGCCCGACATCAGATCATAGTCCGAAACTACGACTAGCTAAACGGGCCGACCTTGGTGCCTTAGACCCGTTCCTACTGGAGGAAACTCACCTCGAATGCTAGCTGTGAAATCTCGTGTAAGGAATCCCTGACGGCTGCTCCAATGACTCACCGGCTATCAATTTCACAATAACACTTAATCAGAATCTGCTAATCCTCCTTAGGGTAAAATTACCATTTTACCCTTGGTCAAAGTCAACGTCCTGGTCAAAGTCAAAGTCAAGGTCAACTCCCAGTCAACCCAACTCGTTGAGTAATCTCCCAACTCGGGAGTTCCTGCACAACTCAGATTCGTGGTCAACCGAGTCAACTCGTCGAGTCCCTTCCCAGACTCGTCGAGTTCTATCTGTCATAAAATCTGGACACCCGGCTTCAATTCGTCGAGTCCCTTACTGGACTCGCCGAGTTCCCCTATCTGTTTGGGATATATTAAAGGATTAAGCCCCTACACTTCAGATCCAAGCTTCATACTTCGCAATAACCCTGAAAATGTCCTTTTAAGGGTAAAGTTTCTGACTTTACCCTTAATACCCCTTTTTAAAGGGTTTAGATCAAACCCTAATTCCTTGGGGCCTAGAACTTGGTCCTTAAGCCATCCATTCACCAAACTAAGGCTTACAACTTCAAATCTACTCTCCTAACACTACTTAAACACGTAAAGTTTCAACATTTTTCCACATGCATGGCCTTTTGGGGCATAAAAGGCCATGATGTCATCCTAAAGGATTGCATGGGGCTCCAAAGGCATAAAGTTTGCACCTTTATGCCATAGAAGCCCTTAATGGTACCAGATCTGAAAGTAACATCGACTTAGGCCGTCCAAGTCTCATAAATAAAGCTTCTTGGACAAAAACTCCATAAAAGTGACCATAAGGAGATGTAAGAAACTACAAGACAAGTTTGAGGCTTGATTACCAGAAAATGATGAGGATGGGACGAAATCTCTGGATCTACTATCTTCTCCTTGAACCTTCCAGCTCCTTCTTCTTCTTCTAGCTTCAAGGGCACACAAAATCATTCACAAAATGCTCTATTTAAGATGCTTAAATAGGGTGCAAAACCCTGAAATTAGGGTTTCACTCTGGCCGATCTACTCGCCGAGTCGAGGGCTCTCGACTCGTCGAGTAGACAGCTTAAACCCCGTGCATAATCTGACCTCTACTCGACGAGTTAAGGCCACCAAGTCGTCGAGTCCTTCTCATAAAATGAATAAATAATTATTTAATGCATACCAGGGATCTGGGCGTTACAACAACCTTGTTGCTTGACATCATGATGTAATATGGATCTGTCCACAAGGTTAAGGAGAAGTCCACGGTAAGCATGGAAAGAGACCTGTCGTCGTGGCACTCACTCAACACCCTGTTAACGCTATGTAATACGACCTCAACGCCACCCAACACCTTGACCCCGAATTGAAAATCATTGAGATACTTGGTCATTTCTTTACCAACGTCTTTCATAGTCAACTTGGAAACCAAATGTCTCCATATAGTGACTACTGCAATAGATCGCATTCGATTGTCAGGTTTGAAGAGCGGCGTAAGAGGAACAGAGGCGACAAATTCTGCCAAACTCAATGGACATCTTCCCTTAGCCATAGATTAACCACAAATGTAATAGCATGTGGGAGGTCTTTGGCTATAGCTGAACATTCCCTACAAAGAGAATAAAAATGTGTTGAGCTATCAACCCGTCTCTCCCACTCGAGATTCTTTTAGGGAAAGATTTAATGCTCCTAAGGATATTGTCAATATCCATTACAATGGGAGATTTTTAAAATATGGTACTTGGAATGGATGGTGGTGGCTTGTATGGTGGTGAACCTATTTGGGTTTATAATATTGAAGAGCACGACGACAAGTTGGTCGATTAGTTTTTTTTTTTATATAAATTAAAATATTATTAAATATGAAAACTGGTTAAAATATTTAAAAAATGGTAAAGAAAATAATTTGAGCAAATAAAATATTTAAAAAAGTTGAAAAAGAACAAATATGATATTTATATTTTAGACCGGATAAATATAATATTTCTAAGCTTAACAAAGGTGAGTGTTTCTTTGTTGCTAACCGTACGAAATCCATCAATACATTATCATGAGGTGTTACATGAATGGTAATGTGCTTTATAAAAAATCACATGTTAAACTTTTTTCTTGACGAGGATAGCCCTTGTGTTTTAAATTTATTGCGTGATTGGTCTCTGACTCATATAAAATGACATTACTACCCTTTCCATTATTTTTAGACAGGTTTTTACTTATTATATATATATATTAAAGTTATGAAAGATTTTAACAGTAAAGTGACATCTTTTTTGTCAATTTTGGTCCTCTAACTTTTGACCCTTTTGTTCACAAACACAACCCTTTCATTTTGGTTTTAATTTTTCATAACCCTCGCTACGGACACGTGTTATTAACTCTGGATACCTTGAATTGTGGATAACCCTCGCTACGGACACGTCTTATTAACTCTGGATACCTTGAATTGTGGACTTCTTCTTGAAGCTTCTCGCACCGCTTATCGCATCTAATCTAATTCTTTCCTTCTTCCTTTCTCATCTGCTTTGTCTTCCCCCCCACCCCCCTCCCTATCGCACCAGAGAAATGGTCCTTCGTGTTGAAGAAGGCGATGTTGCCGTCACCCGCTTCGTTATCGCCCTGATATGTGTTCTTCATCTGCAAGGTTTTCAATTTAAGAACCCTAGAAAGGTACATACTTATCCTTCTCCACAGTTTCTGTTCGTATCCTCCGGATGAAAACAAACGATCTGAACTGGTGAGAAACGACATCGGTTCACCACTTCAAACCGGAGGTCGTGCGTCGCAGGCGGAGGCTGGGATAGGAGGCGGCATGCGTTTTCAGAAACGTCTGTCTTCTATTCTACTCTATAGAAGCCACCATCTCCACCCTTCTAATTCGTTCACTGTGGTCGATTCGATTTCCATCCAAAGAAATATCGACCAAGACGTCGCCTCTAGGACAAAAATGACAGAAGGCAGGAGAGTCAACGGCTTTGGCGATGTGGACGGCGACAGTGTGCCGAGGTCGGCTTGTCGATTCCTCGGTAAATCACACCAAACTCACTAAATCATGTTTTGGTTTTGGTTTTTTTCGATTCTGAATTACTTTCAACAGTTTCGTTAGTAACCCACATAGAACAGCCCCCCCACCTACAAATCACACAATTCATATCTGTAAAATACGAAAATTGACTGTGGTTCTTCTTTGCTTTTCCTCAATCAAACGTGTCTGCATCCCCTTTTCTTTTATCTTTTGTGTTATTGCTTGGTGCTGCTATGTTTATCGTCATTCTTCTCAAATTTCCTGCTAATTTAGGGTTCAAACTCTACACCACTGTCACTTTGCGTTTTTCAGGCAAGCAAGCTTTGATTTCAGATTTTTAACTAACCTACAGTTCTATTTTGAGGTGATTTGGTCAGTCCTAATATCAGTAATATGTTTTGATTAAACAATTTAATATTTCTAAACATCTTTTTTTTATTAATGATTGATTTTTCGTTTTTTGTGGATTTTTAGTAGATTTATGTCTTATATGAGAGAGAAGGAGATGGAAGAGTAAATTCAGATGCAAAGACACGGTGTGGAAGGGATAGGTAAGGAAAATGGGATGAAATAGAAACGTTCCAGCTATAAGCTTTTTCTTCCGCCTCTGGTTTTTTGATCTCGAATCAGGTAACCAATAACGTCTAATTCTTTCTGATTTTATTAAATTGTATTTGGTATGCTGATTTGAATTGAAAAGTAGGTCCTTGCACAAAGAAATTGTCTCTTCAGGTGGAGTTTGAAAGATTGCACTTCAATTGTTCGATGAAAGTACTCAAACAGCCACCCACTCATATGGATGCCACCACCCGGAAGAGTTGGCGATGTTGTGCAGTGGAGGTAATATACACATACATACATTTTTTGGAGTTTTGAATCCTATTGATTTTAACAATTCGATGTTTTTTTGAATATTTTTGTGTTTCGTGTTAAACAGGTCAGCGGGTATGATCCAAGAAATTGTATGGGTTTTTACTTTTTTTATATGGGGTTTGATAAAAACTTAAAACTTTATTCACAGGAAGTCACTTTATGAAATAATCAATAAACCCACTGATGGAGGTGTAACTCCTCTTCATATGGCTGCACTAAATGGACACGTTCACTGTTTGCATTTACTACTTGACTTAGGGACTTCAGTGAATGAAGTCACTGTGGAAGATGGAACTACAATTAACTTAATTGGTAAGTTTAAGTTTATACTCTTTTTGATATGATTTACAAAATATGAGCCCCAAATGTTGTGAGTTAAGTTTTTGTTACAATCAGAATCGATTTTTTTATATGATTTTAGGTGCTGGAAATACGCATTTACATTATGCTGCATACGGTGGAAATCCACAATGTTGTCAACTATGTTCATTTTGTTATTACATTTTAGTTAGATGTGTTTTTTTCTTGATGTTTTTAGCTGATATATTGTTATGTTCTAGATTTTGATAGATAGGGGTGCGAGTTTAAGCGCTGAAAATGCTAATGGGTATGAGTTTTATCTACCGGTTTTGTGTTTTTTTGATGAGTTTCCAAAAGAAGAAGTGGCAATTGAGTAATTAGATAGTAGAACAATTGATGTATCGCCAATTGAGTATGATGTAAAGCTTGAAGAGGTTGAGTCCTTCTTTGGACTATCTGCCAAGGTAAAAAGGGTGCTACTTTTTCTTTATATTTTTTTGCTGAACATACATACATATCAATTTTTTAATATTAAGAAATTTCTAGAATGACTTTTTGGTGGCTAGATATGGAGGATTGAGATGATTCTAAAAGTAATCATTTTTGTTGATAAGTTTTTGTAAGTATTTAGTTTTGCAAAATGGCAAAAAAGTAAATTTGCAATGTATATCATACTCCTTTTCAGAAATTTGATTCGATTTCAGCCGTGGAGGTTGGAAAGAAGCTTTTGTGCATTAAGTAATCAATTTCTGCTTACATTTCTATTCATCCGAGTGATGGCAAATTACACAGAATAGCAACATACTTTAATTTGGATACGAATTTATGCAATGTACTTCCTTATTTGTCTCAGAAAACAAACACATTTTGCCCCGGGCGTTGCCCGGGTAACCCCTCTAGTATATATTAAAGTTATGAAGAAAAGGAATAGTGAACTTGTCATTTTTTTGGCAGAATTGGTCCCTGTATTATTGTTGAGCTTTAAAGTTAGGAATACAAAATTTGGATGTTTTTTGGCAACTTTGCTCTTCATTCTTTACCCATTTTGACACTTTTGGTCCTTGTAATCAATATTTTTACACTTTTTTGAAACCTTTTAATATTTAAAGTTTGGCCACAAAACTTTAACGGTTTGACAACTTTGATTCCTTTTCTAAAAAGTTGTTAATTCCTACCCCTTTAATTCTTTAGCCATTTTGACACTTCTGGTCCTTGCAGTCAAAACTTTTACATTTTTTCATAAAAACATGAAAAAAACGGTCCGGAGCAAAGCCCGAGTTTTTCATCCTTGCACTTTCTATGTCTGTCATATTTATCAATTCGGAAACAACATTGAAAGCTTCTGGCCCCCGCGTAGCGGGGGTAACCTTTTTAGTTTTAATTAAGATAATAAATTAATAAAATAAGCCCCTCTTTCTCTGAAATACAAATCAAACATAGGAATGGAAAGCAAAGTTAGCCCTCAAGAGTGTTCATGATCAAGAAGCCTTTGAAATCGATTTCCAACACAAGATTACATGAACAGAAAAATCAAAGATCAACCCCCCTTTGTCAACAGCACACCCCAAATTAAGAAGTAAAGATCAGATGTGAAAAGCCAGAAGGTTCGAACCACTGGTGCCACCCCCTTCCTCACTGCTAATCTTCTTTCTTGATCCTCGATTGGGAAAGTGAGATGAACAAATTCAAATATTCAATTACACTTTTTGCATAGTGCTCTCAATTTGTTTAACACTGGTTTAGTGTTGTTCCTTTTTTAGTGTGGTCGTCCATTTGTTTAACACATAACCGATCATTTCATCAATAATTCAAGGTACTCTGTTATTGCTTCAAGTCTCAAGTGGCAAAAACTTCACTCATATTATACATAAATAATCATAATGTTGATGCGAAGCAAGGATAAGCTTATTACGTTTTGCATTGGGCTCTGTAATAACCATTATCAACTTAGTGTTCAATTGTAATATATAGTGTTCAATTGTAATATATAGTTATTTATATAATGTAAAAGAAATAAATTATCTATGATTGTGAAAAATAAAATAAAAAAAAACGAGAATTAACCACTAAAAAAGTTACATTGACTAAACCTATAATTCTTGTAAGACAGGAATCATTTATGTTGTCGATATTTTCATAAACATATATTATTTTAATATAATTTTTCTGAAAATATATTTAAGAGCATTTTGCGAAAATTAAGCGTTTATCAAGTAATATAGCATCAAAAGTTGGCACAACAAAAAAAATAAAACACAAAATCAACACAAGTGTATTGCCAAAATGAAATATAAGAAGAATAAAAACAAAATCTCTAGCAAGAAACTAAATTTAAAAGGTTTAATAGGTAACAGGAGCAAGGATTTCAAGTTGGGAACCAAGTTTTTCCTGTGCAACCTTCTCAGCCTTGGCTCGCAGTTTGTTAAGCTGCTTCTTCCTTTCATACACCACTTGTGCTTTCTCTTTCCTCTTCTTCTCAAGATCCTACAAGTATATATTACATATTCAGTTTCCATTGTTTAAAAAAAGGTGTTACAATACACATACATAATAGATTAATAAATTAATTTGAACAAAAAAAATATCTTACCTTGATTGTCTCATAATGATTCCATCCAACTTCGGATGAAAGCCTGCCAAGCAAGCAGTACTTGTGTCCAGCAGTTAACCTCAAAACCCTACATTTGTTTTAACAGATCAATAAAATATAACCTCAAAGGTTGAACAGATATGCCTCTAAAACACCTAATGCAAATTAGGTTATGCTAATATAAATCTTCCTTTCGAATCCAGTTCATATAACATCAAAAAGAAACTCACTTGAGAGCATCAGGGATAACCATCCTCTTCTTCCTGTTGTAAGGAGTTGGGACTCCTTCATAAACCTTCAACCTTGCAAGTGCAGCAGCTCCACGCTTGGTCTTGTGTGGAATCATACTGTAAACAAAAAAACATACATTTTTAACCATTCAAAGTAACACAAACATACAGGTTCAATATGATACGCAAACAATTATCATTTCAATCAACGAATTTTCGAATACAGCTTTAAATACACACATTTAAACAGTAGAGTTGCTATATTATCAGAAATAGATTATATGAATTGATACTTCTACTTCTTAATCTGAGCAGCATCAAAGTACCAAATATTAATGAATAATTTCAAATCCGATAGAGTTTATGTTAGGATACATGTAACGTCACGTGTTGTACCTAACTCCTATAACGCACGAAAACTTCAATACATAGCTACTTTGGGCATGATTTTCTTCTATTTAGACATGAAAGCAATGATTGCAGTGTGATTGTGCATGTAAGAAAATCGCTACAGATATTCAACAAGTGCAAATGTCTACGAATATTAGCAACATAAAGTGATGTGTGTGACTGTGTGTGTGCATAAATTTGGGGTTTACCCTCGGATGGTACGCCACAGGATCTTCGAAGGAGCACGGAAGTGAATGGGACCGTGAGAAGGCTTGGTGTTCATACGCTTACGGAGAAAACGAAGGTACTTCATTTTCTGACGAACGAGACCACCGGAGAGGCAGATCTCTTCAGTGCGCACGACGGTGACTCGCTGGCCATTGAGAAGCTCCTTTGCCAAAATAGACGACAATCGGCCGAGCATATGGTGGCGGGCATCCACCACTACCTCCTTTGCGCAAATACCTGATCCGGAAACCATTGTTGCAGCAGCTATGGGTTTACGTCTCCCTCTCTCTCGCCTCTCTTTCTCTCTCTCGATCGCTAGCAGAAGTATATAAGATTAGGGTTGTAGGGTTTAGAAGACAGGCCGACAGGGTAACTATTTTGCTGATGTAGGGCTGGGCTGTAAGCCCAGATACTCGCTTATTGGGCCAAATTGAAATCAATTTTAAGGTTTCATAATATAAATATTATAAATATATATTTTTTAAACAGTGTATAAATTGTAAATGACATGTATATGCGTTAGAAATGGAGTATGTGGGTTCGACTTCTTTTTGGTTATTATATGATAAAAAACAATTTTGAGATCCTTTGAACTTTGTTTTAGAATTAATCTTGATATAACTTAATAAGATTTGAAAACAAAAAGTGTCTTTTAAGTCTAAGTCATGTAGAGTTCTTTAAGCAATAAGAATGTATGTATATGTATTAACAGTCTGATTCCAGACAATGTTATAGCGAATGAGAAAAGAACACCATGGCATGCGACAAAATACAAACATATAGGAAAATCAACCTAATCGAATATTGGTAGCATTCGTTATAGCATTATAGAGTTCTCTAACAGAATATAAATTTTAAAAATTTTCTATACTTTATAGAAGCTTACAAAAGATGTTATGTTTAGAACATTTTAGAAGCTCAAAACCTTCTATAATTCTGATATTGCTTCTTATCATAATAGTGACAAATTTTTAGGACTCGCTCCACCTATAAATATGTGAGGTTGAAGTTGTTTGCATTTGTAATCATCAAGCATAAATCCTCAATAAATATAAAGCATTACCGGGAGTTTCTGAGTGTGTATAAATAATTTTTTTAATGAATGACAAGAATAAATCGTATGTATGTCAGTTTTATTGATTCATGAAAATCTCGGGCCACACAACATTATGTAACAATGTGGATCAGGAAATCATCCTTAAAGGGGTCTAGTTGACCATCCAAAAGTTGAAAACATGTGACAGTTTTTTAAACCGCAATTGTATTAGTATTAGAAAAATCCTAGCAAGTTGTTAGGCGAAATAATACAAGAATTAACTCATATTTAAAGCGAGTGACGGATTTGCAGCAAATCTAATTAAAATAATCTTTTTTTTAATCAACTACATGTCTCGGAAAAAAAACGTTACAATGTTATTAAAAGTAGTATTATTTTCACAGTTTTTGTTGAAGTAAAAAAGAATGTCGTTCTAAAACCTAGAGCTGACAAAAATTGATCCAACCCACCAACCCAACCCAAAATTAGCAGGTTGGATTGAGATTTTCAACCTACTTATGTTAAATGGGTCAACTCGTTTAACCCATTTAATTAAATAGGTTGGGTCGGATAAAAATTATCAACCCGTTTTCAACCCACCAACCCATTTAACTTTAATTTATATTAAATTTATTAATTATTTAAATATTATCATGTATTATTCTAAGTATTAGTTTCTAAATTACAATGTTTGTATTATTATTTATGTTTTAAAAAAATGGAATCCTAATTCCTACCTTTTTTCTTGGTACCGACAATATTAGCCACTATAAAAAAATCACTTAGAAATTACATATCTTTAATGTTATTTGAACAATTTCTTTGTATATGTGAATTGTGATTGTGCTTTTGTTATACTTTGAAATTTTATTTAAGTCTATAACTAATTTAAGTGGTGTAATCTTTAGTTAATTTTTTTTTTATTTTAGATGGTTCAACCCAAATTTAACCAATTTATTTAATAGGTTAGGTTGGGAATTACATAAACGGGTTAACCCGGTGACAACCCATTTATATGAAAGGTTGGGTTGGGTTGGAAATATCAACCCATTTAAATAAACAGGTTGGGTTGGGTTGAAATTTTCAACCCAATTAATAAATGGGTTGAACCCGAACCCAACCTAGGTCTACCCATTGTCACCTCTACTAAAACCTCCAAGTGACCCACCTATAAACAAAAATTACCACATTAAAGCATGATTAACCTCACGATTGTCTTGAATATGATCTGCCACTAACAATATTTCCTCCCCCATAGTAATTTGAAGTTGTATCATATCCCACACTATAATTAGTTTAACCCCACACGTTTTTAGCTACATCACAAATGATCAAGCCATGTTGATTGATCTCAATTTCGAAAATACAAATAGGACAAAGTGTAGAACCCAAATCAATACCCCTTTTATCCAAGTTTTCTCAAATGTCAATTTAATTAATCCAAACTTGACATGCTAGGGTTCTTTTTGTTTTTAAGAGGTAAAAGGTTTTTAGTATGTGAACCACATCTCCAGAGTTCTGCAGAATAAAAAAGTTTACCAAACGTCTATAACATACAAGAAAAAGATTGCTTGTTTTTTTAAATTTGCATGCAGGTAAAAAATAACTATTTTTTTAAGTAACAAGACTTTGAAAACATATTAATGAACAACGTTTGACAATTTCCATTGTATTATCGAGTAATTAAAATGATACATTTCGAACACAATAATTAACAAATTTTAACAATTTACATAAAATCAAAGTAGCAAACAACAAGGTCATCTTAATTAAAGATGGGAATCATAGAAACCAAAGTTAGAACAATATGCTCAGTCAATTTTTCCATTATACATTACATTACGTAATCATATAAAAATCCTTAAAAATGTATTCGGACAACAACTAAATGCAAAAGTGACTTTAATCATCGGTGTTTATCTTATAACACTGTAACGTCCCTTTTCCCGTTTTGATCAGTTGGAGACTTAAGGATGCCAAATATAAGGTTTTAGGGAAAAACCTTATGACACGGCGTGGTAGGTTGATGGTCGCAACGTAGTCATGCCACTTAAATGAAGAACGCGCCTAGTTGGTCACCACGACGTGGCGAGATGGTGACCACAACGTGGTTGTTGTTACAGCCCAAGCCTAAGATTTTAGGGTTTTTTCCATATTTAAAGGCATTAACTCTTGGATTAGTTCATTTCCTTTGGCCTCCACCCTCCCAACTCAAAACCTTAACCTCATGCTTGTTCCCTTGGTTTTGAGACTCTCATCTTGGTTTTTGTGAAGCTTTAGGAACAATTAACTCCATCTTGGTGCAAGGAAACATAAAGTTATCTTAAATCCATCGTATTCTTCGAATTTATGAGTCATTTGAGGTATAAAGTTTATACCTTAACCTTTGTTCTTTTAGATTCAAGATTATGCTCATTTTGTTTGGTTTTGGTCTATTTTATGGATGTTCTTGGAGTTGAGAAACTACAGAGTTTGTTCAGGCACTTCCATGGCATTTGGATCCATGTTAAGCGAGAAAGGTCCGTGCTTGGGGATAACTTGAGTTCATGCACAAGGACTTGCCCATTAGAAAACTTAATGGACTTAGGATTTTAGATCGTGTTTTGTGGTTGTGTCTAATTGGATAAAGTTTGAAACTTTATCCATTAAGTTAATAAGAAGAACCAGATATGAGTTTAAGAACTTTGATTTGCAAGGATTAAGTTCTTAATGAAGAGATGACATTCTGAATGAAACCAACGATGTGGCCAAGGAAGGCCCACGACATGGTGGCGTGTTGCATCACAATTGTTTTGTCTGGACTTGGCCACGATGCGGCCAATGACTCACCACGACACAGTGGCCGTTGACCTGGTTGACTGTTGATTTCCGTTGACCGTTGACCGTTAACAGTGTTAGTAGGGGTGTTAATCGGTCAACCCGATCAGGTTTCAGGTTAGTCGGGTCGGGTTAGTCGGGTTTTTCAAAAATAAAATTTGACCCTAAGCGCGACCCTATTAAGGTACAGGTTAGTCGGGTTTCAGGTTTGTCGGGTTAGGCGGGTTACAATGTTGAGTAAAGACTTAAAATGTAAGATAGTTTAATTTATGTCATTTTAATCAATTTTATATCTGCGAAGGCCTATAAGGGTTGATACTTTAAAATATATTATGGAAAGAAAATTTTGTTTCACTTTGTGTTGTATGAAGCTAGTGTACCTAGAAGTTAAATTAATTTCATATTATTCAATGAAAAATATGTTTTACAAATATATGTTCCTATATTTATCTAATTATCCAATGATTTATTAAATAAATTATATAAGTAATTTAAATATTATATTTTTATCATGATATAAAAACTAAAAATATAAACAATTAACTTAGTTGATGACGTACTATAAATGTAAACATGAAATTAAGACTCATGATCAAAATGAAATTTAAGACCCATGACAAATAGCAGTCGTAGACCACAAGTGTAAAAAACAAATTACTTGAGGATTATTATGCATGAAATACCTTGCAGTAAACACATATCATTGAAGATCAACAAATAACTTGTTTGATTAGTTGAGTTCATGGGGTATAAGTTGCAAGGCTATTAGTTCAACATAAGTACAAGATGAAAAGATTTTAAAGCCGATGGCTAAACCGAGTTAATTGGGTTGACCCGAACCCGAATAAACGAAATACATCATACCCGAAACCTGACCCTATTAAGGTATGGGTTAATCGGGTTAACCCGAATAACCCGATTTTAGCATTCAGACCCTAATAAACCCCACCCTATTAATCTTATTCGGGTTTGGACTGAATCGGGTTAGTCGGGTTCGGGTTTTTTTGACACCCCTAAGTATTAGTCATAAGGATCATTTGCATACAATGTTTGCTCCAAATGGACGATCTATGCAAAATAATAATAATAATAATAATAATAATAATAAATAAATAAATAATCATAAGAACTATTTTAGGGAAAATTTGAAAAAAAGGACCATTTGCGAAATTTTGTCTAAAAAATCACGTCAAGGTCTCCAGCTCTTCTCCGGCACTCCCTCGCATCTCCGGCGCACCTCTCGTTCTCTGGCGCGCATCTTGTTCTCCGACGTCAGTGTAGTTATCCGGTACTCCGGATCGAACAAGGGCTTCATCCCCCCTGCACCAGTCATTTCGGGCAGCAGCTTCATCACTGTCATCTACGGCCAGTATCCTCTCCATGGTGTCATCTCTTTTTCTCCGGTACTGATTCTTGCTTTCTAGTTGGTCCTCACTCTCCTTTTCCGATATTGATTCTCGATTTGTAGTTGGTCCACTCCTTTTTTCCAGTACCGATTCGCGATTTCCATTTGGTCTTCTCAGACGTTGTGAAAATTGGTTTAGGGTTTGTGAAATATCTGTTAGTGTGAAAATTGTTTAAATCAATGCTGTAAAAATTGTTTCGATTATAATTTGTCTTCTGTGGCACCATTTACTTTTTTACTCTGTGATTAATCTGTCTTCTCCAACACCATTTGAAAATTACAAAGATTTATTGATTTCTGAAAATGGGTGTTTATTGCTTAATCCTCTTTTCAAATCGAAGTGGACAGATGCTCTACTCCAAATTGCTGATGATATGCTGAAATCAGTAGGCAGTAGATGTAATCTGCCTTCTCTCACATGAACTAATGATTTTGAAAACAACAGATCTTGAAGAAGATGACGAATCCAAAGAGAGACAACTTTTTCAGCAGATTCATATTAACAATAACAGCGATTATGATATCACTTTCATGTTCATGTGTGAATTTCTCACATGCTGCTTCCTCGACTTCTTCTTCTTCTTCTTCAGTGCACACCAACAACTGGGCAGTCTTGGTCTGCACCTCACGCTTCTGGTATTTTTCCTTTTTGTTTTTTGATTCTTCAGTCATTTCGATTTCTCGATTACATGGTTAGGTCCATAGTTTTAAAAATCGGGTGAGGCGTACGCCTCGAGGCGAGGCGGTGGAAAAACGAACTTGAGGCGGCGCCTCATATGGTCTAATTGAGGAGCTGAACGAGGCGGAGAGAGGCAGCGCCTCAAGGCGTGAGGCGGGGCGAGGCGTACTCGTTAAAAAACAATGAAAAAATAAGAGAAATGTAATATTTTTGTCAACTTTTATACCTTTTTACCTAAATAAAACAAAAAATTAATTTTTTGATCTAAATAACCTAATTGACAATCATACATGATGAACTTATTTTGACATAACTTAGTTCAATATTTGCTTTGTTAATACCTTCTTAATACTTAGTTGCTATCTAGTTATGTATTATGGCAATGTTATTAAAATTTCTTTAAATTTGTTTTCTAGTTAATTATGACTTTCTATGTATCTTTATTATATTTTTATTAGTTATATAATATTTAAAAACTATTTTTTTATTCCGCCTCGAGCTTACGCCTCGGTTCGCCTCGAGGCTTACGCCTCCTGAGGCAGAGGGAAAACGCCTCAAGGCTCAATTCCGTACTTTTAAACCTTGGTTAGGTCATGGTTTGGGACCGATTAAGTTTTAAGTTTCCCTTTTTTGTCCTCATCGCTACAGTAATCTAAGAACATGCTTGAAAATTGAAATTAATAGACCTAGGAGTTCCAGGACAGCAGATTTTATAGAATTTGATATGAGGTTCCTTTTTGGATTTCAACAGAAAATTATCTCTTTTCCCATGGATGACCATCACAAAACACTGTATAGTTTAGTTTGGTCTTCCTGTTTATAATATCTGATAGGAAGGTTCCTTTGTAGCACTCTTGACCTTTTTTGAATTAACAAAGTGTGATTATCTTTCAGGTTTAATTATCGGCATATGGCAAACACTTTATCCTTGTATAGGTATATGGTGTTTCATCATAATCTTATATTTGTGTTGACTTTATAATTCACACCCTGTTGACATTTCTCTGTCATTCTTTCTCTTAATGTTCTTGTATAGGACTGTGAAACGACTTGGGATACCTGATGAGAGGATCATTCTTATGTTAGCAGATGACATGGCTTGCAATTCCCGAAACAAATACCCTGCACAAGTTTTCAACAATGAAAACCATAGGCTTAACTTGTATGGAGATAATGTTGAGGTCAACTTTTGTGTCCAATTAATTTACAGCCCTTTACTTATTTACATAGCTGTTTTTTTAGAAGATGTGCTGATTTTAGTACAGTGCTTTGTCAGGTAGACTATCGAGGTTATGAAGTGACAGTTGAGAACTTTTTGAGAGTTTTAACAGGTCGCCATGAAAATGCTGTTCCAAGATCCAAACGTCTTATGAGTGATGAAGGAAGCCATATACTGTTATATATGACAGGACATGGAGGAGATGAGTTTCTGAAATTTCAAGACTCTGATGAACTTCAGAGTCATGATTTGGCTGATGCAGTCAAACAAATGAAAGAAAAGCGTAGGTCAGAAGTACCCATTTGAGTGTTATGTTATCTCTTTTGTCATTGGTTGTAGATTGGTGACTTTATGTGTTCATGTTTTTAGGTTCAAGGAACTGTTGATTATGGTAGATACATGTCAAGCTGCTACCCTCTTTTCCCAGGTCTGGTTCTTTTTTTCACCTAAAGTATGGAAATAAATGAAAACATAACTTTATTATTTTCTTTGTTTTCAGCTCCATTCACCTGGTGTTTTGGCTATTGGGAGTAGCATGAAAGGGGAAAACTCATATTCACATCACTTAGATTCTGATGTGAGTATTATCTGGATTCTATCAAGTTGAAAATTTTGTAATTTGATATACAGAAATACTCCATGATTTTTAACTTCTCTTGCTAATTCTGTGTGACACATATAGGTTGGTGTCTCTGTTGTGGATCGATTCACATTTTATACGTTAGCTTTCTTTGAGAGGCTCAATATGTATGACAATGCATCGTTAATCAGGTATGAAAAAATGTTGCATTTTGAAAAATCTGTTAAAGTTTTCTCGGCCTATTTTACTTCATTTTTCTTTGTTGTTTTGCAGTCTGTTTGGCTCATTTAATCCAGATTTACTGCTGTCAACTGCATATTATCGAACAGATTTATACCAACAAGAATTGGAGAAGGTATATGCCATTTTTCATCACATCTCACCCTTCCTGAAAAGGGAATTTCTGTTTTTCAAGGTCTAGGCATTCATACCACTGTTTCTTTCTAGACTAAATTACAAAAGTAGTCCCTGTGGTATATTGGTTTCTATGGATATGTTCTATCACTTTCATCGGTTGTCTTTTTTCGTCCTTAAACCATTAAGTTGACCGTTTTGCCCTAATATTCTCCATCTCTTTCTTCAAACTCCTAAAAAATTTAGAACCCAAGAATCAAATTCCCCAAAAAGTGATGGCACTTATTATTTTTGCAAAATGATATTTGGTGGTTTTGGCATTTGGGGTTTTGATTTATTGAGTTTGAGTTGTGTGTGTTTGTTGTTCAGGTACCCGTGACAAATTTCTTTGGTTCAGTGATGAAAACAATCCACACTGGTTCTGCTTACAGAGGTAAACCCAAATCTGATGTGTCATCAGATCCAACTCCAAGAATAACAACTACTAGTTCAGTTTCTGGGAAACAAGTTGATCATCTGGAGACAAATGTAAGGATCTTTAATTCCACTTACGAATACATCTAAGCTAGTTATAACTAAATAACGTATAGAGCAGAGTCAAAACTATAATTTGTATTTACATATGAAATTTATTCCATTCCTACATGACCATGGAATGTAATTACTAATTACTAATCATTCTTCATTCCTGATTCCATTCCATCCAACCAAACACTCGCTTATATTGATCTTAAGTTTGTGCTCCTTCCTGTTATGTAAATGTTATCCAATGAAGGAAGGAGTGACAAGTGTATGGCGATGTGCAGGTGGTGAAAGTGAAACATGGAAATGGAAGTAGTTGTCCTCATGCAGAATTATGGGATATGATGGTTGACAAGCTTCAAACTATCAAAAATGTTGACACCATTGTCAATTACGGTTTGCTTGGATTGTTGACCCTTGTGGCACTTTCCACCTGGCAATCATCATCATCATCATCATCATAGATAGATATAAAGGTAAGAAATAAAAATCCTCATTTTCATCACTTCACCTCACATTTTTCCTTGTGTTGTGTTGTGCCCTAGAAAAAGTGTCGTATTTCAAAAGTTTAAAATCAAATATCCTTTAATGTAAAATGCGACTCCATTCTTAATGCAAAACTGTTTCACTTTTCAACAGGCTAAATATTTTGCATATTTTTTTAGTCTTAAAATGAAACATCATTGCATATTTATGGATCATTAGTTTCAAAATTTTCCTATTTTATATGCCAAAATATGCAATCATGTTTCATTTTAGTTCTAAAAATGTGCAAGTAGTAACAGGAACAATTATTACATGGTACTAATTAGATACTTATTTGAACAACAATGTTTCACCTTTTACCAGTTTATGCCTATATGGTATATATAAAAAGAAAAAAAAAACAAAAAACAAATTGTTGTTGCATAAATATGAAAAATGAGAAATTGTTATGCGCATTTTAGACATATCATTATTATGCCCTTTTCTGATTCAAGTTTCAGTTTAAATGACAGTTGGTTACAATTCCAGGTGTTGGGTTGCAAAAACAAAACATGTTAATGAGAAAAATTGAGACCCTTAGAAGAGCATCCGGTTATATATGCAACTCTCAAGTAAATGGCCTTGGGTGGGTGGGTGGGTCTTTACATCACATGGATGGATTCCTCATTACACAATTTATTTTTGTAACAATCACTATGGTGAGCTGCCTGCTTATTTTCTATCTAGTCAGACTAATGAATCAATTTAATGTAATCTACTCAAGAAGCTTTAGTGCATATTTTTGTAGTGTTAATCGTATAATCTGTAACTCTACATGATATAAAATCTTCTGACATATCTAGTTTTGTTTTGGTTTTGGTTTTGGTTGTTCATTGTTCAAGCATGTAGGTAGGTACTCACAATCTACATCAACATAAGTTAGTTTGTCACATAAAGAATCTACCCAAGTCTTAACTCATGACCACCTACCAAGTAACCATCTCAAAGATTTCTGCCACATACAATATTCCTCTCTTACAACTATAATATATTTACAGGTGATATCACTTTTGTGCGTGTATCCATTCTTAGAGAAACTCAGAAAACATCATCTTTGTGAGGATGGATATTAACGAGAATTTTGATCGATTAGCAAGTTATATGAAAACATGTGAAATCATCGATTTCTAGATCCTTTTCATTTGATTTTGTTACCTATTTCTCAACCCCCTAAAAGAAATCTTATTGTTCCAAATGTCCTCAAATTGATGTTGATCATTTTTATATATGGAAAAGCAAGCTCACCCTTCATATGTACCCTGTGCATCACTATATGCTTACTATTATGAATAAAGGGGCATATGTTCCTGTCAATATCGTGCCTTGTGATGGGACAAAGGACATTCTAAAGGTTCTAGCTATGTTCATGAAACTTAAAGCTATAAGTAACTAAGCCATATGACTCTTTTGTGCCAACACCATGAGACATTTACCTAAACATATACCCAATTCAACACTTCACTCAAATGATCTAATAACCTACATATATAGGAGGAACATGTATGTGGTTATTGTGATGACAGAGATTGACACAATCCACACATATAACCTCCAAAGTATATTTATATTTGGAAGTCTGTCGAAGAATCATGAAAGTCTAAACCTAGCTAGCGACTTGCATCAATGGATAAGTTGAATGATATTCAAGATATGACTACAGCTCCAACTCTTGTCTCAACAAACCAATCATCTGACACACTGTTTATTGTCAATAAACCATAACCCACTGAAAATGTTTCAGATTGCCTAGATGATTATGGAAAGTAGTATGAAAGACTTTTAGCTAAGACAACAATGTTTGAAAGGAAGCATAAAGATTGGAGAGATAGGAGGACAATGCAAAGGAACATCACATGACAAAAGGAGCATGCATATCTGATGGAGAAAAGAAAGAGGAGGATTTAATGGCTTTTGAAGAGGACAGGAGTTTCGAGCAGCCATACATGAAAAATCTCGGTAATAGTATTGCAATTGATTGGGATCTATTCACCATGTATCATGTCAAATCGAAAACTTTGCTAATTACTTTGAAAATGAAAAATCTACAATGTTTGACTATTTGCATGTGTTAATTTACGAATGGATCATTTAAAACTTTGTTAAATTAAAGGCTAAATATGCAAACCTAGCTAAAGAACTCCTTGCTATTGCAACTAGGGACAAGCATAGGCGGATACCCGCCTATTTTTGTTGGAACCGGAACAATAGATGAATAGTCATTTGATAAAAAATCATTTAAATTATTTGAATATCTTATTTCCTATCGGAATAAGCATATCAATACGATCACTAGGACTATTAACTAATATAATAAGGAGTGTAAGTATTGAAAAAAGGATTTGTTCTCTCCTACGAACAATTTTTTCGTAAATCTCGTCTAATTAAAGTAGTAGATCTTTTAGCCCCTTATCGCCGTGGAGGAAAAATCGGACTATTCGGGGGAGCTGGCGTGGGTAAAACAATACTCATTATGGATTTGATTAACAATATTTCCAAAGCTCACGGAGGCGTATCGACGGTTCTTATATTATTGGTACTGGAACAGGAACAACTTACACCAGTTTCTAGAAATCTGGAACTGCTTCCTAGAACCCCAAGACCGGTTCCGGGTACCCGATTCCTTGAATTTTAAAACTTTTTACTTTATAAATTAGATAAATTAACTATCGTAAGTAAAAAATCAAAACGGTATAAATATGAATTATAGAGTATATTCTATAGATATTAGATATAAAACCAAAACAATTATAAAAACTTATATCTTTTAAATAATTAACTATTAAAAACATCTCCCACTTTTAAATAACGAAACAGTAAACATCTTATCATCTCAGCAATTGCCAAAAAAAAAAAAAAAAAAAAAAAACAAACAAACACAAGCAACTACAGCACCAAGCAGTAGAAACACCAACAAGCAGCAAAGAAAGCAACATACAGCAACAAGGTTTCCTGTTTAATATTGATCATAGAATGAATAAAATTTGACAAAAAAAAAACCCATCATTTCAGATGCAGCAACAGACAAAAAAAAACTAATATTACATCATTTATCGTGGTGTACCTCACAAAGCAATTACTTATTCCCTCCAAATGTATCGTCCATATTGCGACCTGATTTCTATAATTGAAATTAAACATAAAAAGTCAAATTAGAATAATAAGTAGTATTATACAAAAAGGCGAAATTTTATCTAAGTGCAAGTGATGAAACAAGCACATACAAGGAAAAAACTTTATCGAAGTGATCAAATTTCCATTAATGGTTGTAAACGAACCAAACGTTAAACAAACCTTTTGTGAACCCCGTTCAGCAGAAAGATCGTTATTTAAAAACCGAACAGACATGAACAATATATCTCGTTCGGTTAGTTAAACAAACAAACACAAACAATGCCCTCCTTCATTCATTTATGTTTGTGAATGTTCAATTTACATTCATTCATTTATGTTCGTTTGTTTATTTTATTATAGATAGATTTTTTATGTACACACATGTTTGTATGTGTTTGTTCGTTTAAGTTAACATATATTTGTTTGTTTCTGTTCGTTTAAGTTCATCGGTATTCGTTTGTTTATGTTCTTTAATGTCCAATTATGTACATTTAAGTACGTTTGTGTTTGTTTATGTTCATTTATGTTTATCTCGAATGGACATAAAATTTTGTTAGTGTTTTCTCATTTATAGTTTAAAGTTAAAACGAACGAGCAAGAAAAAGCATCCATTAGTGTTCGTTTACAGCCCTAGGTGTTTGGGATTGAGTTTGAAAAATGTTTATTGACTTATTTGCTTTTTCATTTGCCAATAAGCTTAAAAAAGTGTTCGGGAAATATAAAAGTTCTTTTACAAAATAGCTTTTTACTACCCTTAAAAAGACTTTTTGAAAAGTCGCACACTCCTGAATTTTTAAAAATAACCTAAGAGGTTGTTTGGTACTTGAGAAATTAAGATACATGCTCTTAGTTTTTCACATTAAGGATGTTTCGTTGCCTTGAAGCCCATTCCATGCCGTCTACGTTTTCCATAACTTAAGAGGTTGTTTGGTACTCTCCCCCCATTGTGCTAGACATGTGTTTTCCTGAACGCAATAAATAATTCATCATGAATATTGCATTTTCTTATGAAATTATGGATTGCAAAACAAGCAACGACTATGCACTAAAAAACGATGAGGAATCATTTGCTTTAGGATTGAAAATCTCAGCTTCAAAACACCATAGGCGCTCAAAATACAATTTCTAAGTTGTGCGTGTGCATGATCAAATCTTTCTTCTTTAGTTGACACATGTCATCGTCGATAATCAAATAACAAATACCTCGTGTTGCGGTAAGAAGTCATAAATTATCTTTCTTTGTAACGAGTTTGTTGATCAGTAGGCATGATGCATGCACACGAGTTTCATCTAACGCACCTATTGCTCTTGCTCCTGCTCCTGTAAATATTTCTTTTAGCCTATTACGACTTTTTGAGGAATTTACAGTTTCCACTATAATTTCTTTTGCAAAAATCATCATTATTTGTAGAACCTCATGAAAGCATCTATTAACAGTTTTTGTGGAGCGTTGAAATCTTCATTTGATCATCCTGAATCGTTCATTATGTCTTATAATTGTCAAAAACATAACCATCTTTTTTTCTAACACTTATATGCCTATTATTTACAACCAATTGTTTTGTCTAAAATGATTGCATAAAAGTACATACACTTCATGTGAAAGACGCATCATCTCATGACATTGTGTAGAAGTTCCATTTAACAATTCTTACGTATATGCATGACCACTTAATTCTAAATCGTTATTAATTGTCTTTCCAAGTCTCACAAATATGTAGATCAATGGTTAACAAAACGTCTCTTATCCGCACATAAAAAACAAAATAGATATAGTGTATCTCGGATCAAATATTCATTATTTTAGCTTTGTTCAAATTTCCATATATGCACCTAGAATTGAAGAAACATGCTTATCTACAAATATCTTAACAACATTAGCAATATCTTCCCCGATTTCTAGGATTATTGAATTCGATGTATCTTTATTCTTTGTCGTACATTTGTACTCTTCTGTTTTTTGATTGAGCGGAGGACTTCTCACTGACACTTACAGGTTCTTTTTTAGTGCAATCAATGTCACCAAAGTCATTTAAACTATAGTGGGTTCCTTTTGGCCCCCCACCCGTCAATGCTTGTCGAAGTCGCGCCTTCAAACAATTCAGTACAAATGTTGGTGAAGGGTAGCGGTGTACATCTCAAAGAATCAACATGTTTGTTTAACTGTTTGAAAAAATACCTTTGTTTTTAGTTCCCATTCTTCTTTGGAAGGTGTTAGTTGTTAGATTGTACACATTGTCGGTTTTATTTCTTAACTTAAAAAAAGCATCAAATTTTGACTTTAGGTAGTCATCGATTCTTCATTTGTTTTTGGTCAAAAATAAAATTATGTTCGCTTTTTAATTTTTCAACAACAATTTTTCAAGAGACTCGTTTTAAGCTATTATTTTCTCGTCCATTGACCGCAACTTCATGTAAACATGCTTCTAAAAAAGTTTTGTATACAACTTCAAACTTCCAACTAATCTTATCATCTTTTCTCTCATGTCTTTGATCATATCAACAAATCAAAAAACCACATCAGATATCAGAAAAAATAAATGCATATTTGGTAGGATTAGATTTCTGCAAATCAACATTACCAAATTTCAGAAAAAAAAAACAGACAACATTATCATATCAGATTTCAAGCAAAACAAAAAACTCATCAAATTATCAAACATCAGAAAACAACCATCTATTTTGAGGGCAAAAAAAGAACAAAGCAACATCTATTTGCTGAAATCTGATCCTACCAAATCTGCATTTGTTTTTCTAATATTATAAC